CAGTGCCTCAAACGTAGTAGGTGCTCAGTAAATATCTGTCAGGCAAATGGATGAAGACTTCTGCTACACGCAAGCTCTGTGACCTTGGGCAAGTCGGTTGTTTGGACTCAGTGACCCAGTCTTTGAAATGGGGGTGTGTGACCGATGTGAGGGAAAGATAGAGATTTGAAATCGCTGGCTGACTACTCTGTAAATATGTGTAAGAGAGATGTTGAAACCTGCCTGGCCCCCCCCTCTAACCTGGGGCATCTCAAGGCCAGGAGGGACTGGGGGGTTACCAGACCAGCGCTGACCTTGAACGTGACTTCTTTGTCTTAATGGCACCTGCCTGGCCTGGTCGGTGGAGTCCAGACCCCTCTTCTCTGCCTCTTGTGCCCACCTGGGTGGCCCCCGGCTACCCCCTGTCCCTGGTGGCCTGTCAGTGAGCCTAACATCTGGCAGCTCCACTGACCCCCATTGCCCCACCGACTCCCCAGGCCCCTGTCTGGGGTCTCCTCCCTGGCCCCTGTTTATTATTTGACCCTGGAATGGTATTTGGACACACACTTTGCAGGAGAGCAGCTATTCAGATGGTGCTAGGCAAACAAAAGAGTGACCTGTCCAGGCCAGGCTCTCCTGAACACAGCCACACCTCACCAGGAAGCATCTGGCCCTTTGAGACCTGTGAGCACTCCCACCCTGGCCCATAAAACTCTCCCACCAGCCAGGCATGGGGAACCCCTCTCCCCACGGAGCCTGGGGCGGGACTCACGTGGCGAGCCGTGGAGTCAAACCCCAGCCTCCCCTACCAGTCATTCCCTCTGCATTTATAGAGCTCCTGCTGTGTCCTGGGTACTACCACCAGGACCCCATGGAATCCTGCCAGGAGGGTCTGATGGAACAAGCAAGCAAGGGCTCAGGGGCCGTGTAGACCTAAGTTTGAATCTTGACACTGTGTCTTCTTCATTCACTCATTTGCTAAATGCATATGGAGCACCTGCTCTGTGCCAGGCGGAGGTGAGCGAGATTTCTCTAGAAACATAGTCAGGTGGGGATCAGAATGTCTGCCTGTGTGCTCTTGCTGAGTCCTTTGATGGCTCTACAGCCTGGGGTTCTCCTTTCGGAGATGTGCAGATCCCCTCCTAGGGGGCTATCTCGATGCCCCTTTGTGATAACACTTCTGGAAGGGGTTTCCATCCGCCTTTGGCAGATGTGCATCTGGACCCCTCTGCCACACTGTGCCCAGCATGACAGAGAGGCCCCTGGAACAGATGAAGGGCTCAGCTCTCCTTTGGGACAAGCGATCCCACTACCATGTCATTCCTCCAAACCCTTAGTACCTGTGCCCAGAATCCAGAATCCGTGAAGAGTGCTTCCCTGAGTGACCGCCGATGTGTCTGTCACGTGACCTGTCCTTGCCCTGATGTTCTCCAGCCCCTTACCCCATTCTTCTCCAAAGGGGCTGTTGGTTCAAAGAGGAGAAAGCCCTGGGCTGGGTCAGCCTCATTCATTCATTCATTCATTCATTTACTCATTTATTCATTCAACACGCACGCACTTAATGTATGTCAGGCACCGTTCCAGGTACAGGAGGGAGCACCAGTGAGCACACAGACAAAAATAACCACAAAATAACTAAATAAATACATTATATGGTACATTAGAAGGTGGGGATGAGCATTCCAGGCGGAGGGACAAGCAAATGCAAAGGCCCTGTGTCTGGTAACCTCACGGAACATCTAGAAGACAAAGTGGTGAGTCAGGGGGAAGGGCAGGAGGTCAGAGAGGTGGCCGGGGCCTGATTGTATGGGCTCTCATCAGACACTTCTGATCACTCTGAAACCTGGGAGGGGAGGGGAGCCTGTCCCTGCCCCCCCTGGTGGAGGGGGCCCATGCTACCATCGTCACACCCCTACCTGCCAATCTGGACCTTTCGGCCAGCTGTGTGGAGGAGGTGGCTGAATCAGGATGTGACAGGGACAGTTTGAGAGGCTGAGGGTCAGGCAGCACCATGATAGGGGTTAGAGGCCAGTCTGCGACTGGGTTGGTGGTCCCCAGCAGGGATTTGGGCTTTTTTGTCTAATGGTGCACACAGTGGGCCTCTCCTCAGCCTCAGGACTGAGTGACCCTGGTTCCCAGGCCAGGTCACTGAAGACAGGGACCAAGTAGTCTGCATTCTAGAGATGGGAAGACTAGAGCCCACAGAGGAGCTGGGCTGCCCAGGGCTTGCTGGCTGGGAGTGGGTGCCCACAATTGGCTTGTTTCTGCTGCATCCCTATGAGGTGAGCTAGCGGTCAGCCCAGAGGGCACATTAGGGTCCATTTCTGGGAGGGAGGCCTGCCCTTTGCCCCTGGACAGCAGCACTCCGGAGTCTGGGTAGGCTGTAAGATGCTCATGGCCAGTGATTGCCAAGCCTGGCTGTAAGCTGTTGATTCCTAGGCAGAGGGGAAAGCATGTGCAAAGGCGCTGGGCACTTGGGTTGGTTAGGTCTGGGCCAGAGCCCAGGAATCTGTGTTTTTTGTTTCCCATTTGACTCTGTACCAATGGTAGGTTTGGGAGTGACTATTCAAGCCACTGCACAGCCTTAGCTGCCCTTACCCAAAGACCTTGAGGCACAGCAATCCATGAAACCCCTTCTGGTCCCCATTCCCGCCCCCCTTCCCTCACCCCAGCCTGGAGGAGCACTCATGCAGTGGGTAGAGATGTGTTGCCTGCCACGGCCCTCTCTAAGGAGCCCCCAGGCCCCGGGGAGGGCCAGGCAGGGTGGGGAGGAGGCTTCCCACACCCAGTTGGCTCCTAATTGCTGCGGGAGTGGAGTGTAGGACGTTATGGAGGGGTTGGCAGCGGCAGGGTGGGGGGTTAATAGAGGAAGTCGGGCAATCACTGAACAGCAAAACCTAAGTGTGATAGAGGTCGTGGGTGCGCTCCTCCCCTCTTGGCAGAACGGAGAGGGGCCTGAGCGGGGAGCACAGGTGGGGGGCCGAGGAGAGCGAGACAAACAAGACTGGCAAGCAGGAGAAAGTGGAGAGAGCCAGGGCTGACACGTCTGTGTGATCCCTGGCGCGATAATTGGGCGAACGGACGATAGGTCGGACACGTGTATGGAGAGAAGGGTGGGGAGATGGAGAGACGGAGAGATGAATGAATGAATGGCTGCGTGGGCGGTGAGCCGCCTGGCGAGGGGCGGGCCAGGCGAGCGCTCAATCACAGCCCCGGGGCGCGGCGCCCGCCCGCTACGCTCTGGACGCCCCCCCACCCCAACACCGCGGCCCCTCTCGGGGCGCGTAATTCAGTGCCCCAAGGGCTCTGGAGCCGCTCCCGGCGGCGGCTCCCGGACCAGGGCGAAGAGGGCCTGCGCCACCGCCGCCGCGGGGCTCCGCGCGACAGCCTTCAGCGCGCAGGCTGGGCTGCCCCTCCGCCGCGGGGGGAACCTGGAGGTGCGGTCCCGCCGCGAGGCCCCGGCCCCGCTCTTCTTTGTCTTGGCCCAGTCCTCCGCGGTCTCCAGACTGCCACCCGCCTCTTCGGGCAGCCCTCGCCGCGCACTTCGGGGCTGCTCCGGATCTCCGAGTCTCAGTTCCCGCTGCCCCCAGCCCATAGGCGTCTCCCCCGCCCAGCAGGGTCCCCCAAACCCAGTGCCTCTAGGACCGCGGAGCCGGCAAGAACCAGGATCTCCGGCAAGCTGCGTCTCCGGTGCGGGGCGGGGGGGGGGGGGCGGCGGGATGAAGGCCCCCTAGTCTCCGCCTTCTCTCCCCGCCCCTCCTCCGCCACTACTCTTCGCGCTGCGCCCCGACCCCAGCGCAGCCTGTTCGCGCCTTAAGCGGCTCTTCTGCGGCGGTGCCATCCCTGACACCACGCGGAGCCCTCCTCCCGCCCCCCGCGCCCGCCAGGCCTCAGACCGGCACGCAGAACACAGCCCTACGCAGCCACACACAAGACCGCCTGCAGACACGCACCACAGCCTCGCGTCGACCCACAGCCCGGCACAGGCGTACTGCCCCCTACACGCGCAGACCCACATCCCCAACAACCGCAATCCCACTCGCAAACAAGCCCACACAGATACACAACACCCCTGAGACACACTCGGGCCCACGCAGACACAATCCTACACACACAACCTTACACAGACATACAGCCCCTCGGACACACGCAGCCCCACATGGGCGCAGTCCCACCCACGCAGTCACACAACCCTCTATAAACGATCGCACACAAACACAACTCCACGCAAGCACCGCATCACTCAGTTCCTCCGAGACCCAGCAACACACTCACAAGCTCGTAGCCAGACCCCCAAACCCCGTGACATTCACACGTAGGACAGACCAGAAAAATACAGCCACACCGATGCACACACGGACCTAATCGCGCAGCCAAGAGCTCACCCACTGGCTCGTAAGTCACTGGAAAAATATTAAAGCGTTTCCCTCCCTCCCCTTCTATCTCCGACACACACACGCGCGCGCGGGCGCGCGCTCGCGTACACACACACACACACACACACACACACACACATACACACACACACGGAGACACTCACCCCCACCCCCAAAGCGCCTCGGAGCCTACTAGCCGGTGACCCTGAGCCCCCGCGGTTAGAGCCGCGGGAGCGTCTCCCCGGCGCCCCCTCCTCCCGCTCCCTACCCGAGCTCACCACTCCTCCCCTCGCCTCCTCCCTCCCTGCCCCCTCCTCCTCCTCCCCTCCCCCGCGTCTGGGGCGCGGGCTGCGCGCAGCCAAGCCCCCTCGTCGCGCGCCCCTCCCCGCGCGCACCCCGCGCCCGCATCGCGCTTGCCGAGTGGATGCGGCCACGGGGCGGTCTCTAATTACCTCCTGTCCCCCGGTGGCCCGTGAATAATGGCTACTGAGGGCGCTCGCAGGGGCTGCTGAGAAGGAAACGGCGGGGCGCGAGAGGCGCGGCGCGCGCGGGAGCGCGAGGGAGAAAGGAGCGAGCCCGGTGCCGCCGCGAGCGGCGGGCGGAGAGAAAGGAATCGTGCGAGCGCTCACATTTTTTTCTCCCAAGGATCTCATCTGGCCGCCGCGTTCTGGAAGAGGCAAGGGGGAGAGCGCGCGCAAGAGGAGGAGGAGAGAGACGGCGCGGGGAAAGGGAGACGGCGAGACGCGCAGCGCCGGCGCCCGGGAGATCCAGGAGGAGCCCGCAGGTATTGTTGGCGGCAGAGCTTTGTGTCTTCGGGGAGGCGGGGGGGCCGTTCCGGGGCGCGAGGGCTCCCGGAGCCCCCGGGCCGCCGCCGCGCTCAGACCTGCCCCAAAGCCGGGGGCTGCCGGCGGTGGTGGCCGCCGGCCGCGGGCACCCCTCCCGCCGCGCCGCGATCTTGGCTGGAGTTGCAGATTTGCCTGTTTGGGGGTTTTCCACGCCGGTTGAGGGAATCGGTCTCAGGAGAAGGAATTTCTTTCTTTCTTTTTTGTTTGTTTGTTTCTTTTCTTTTTTTTTTTTTTCTTTGTGTGTGTGTGTGTGGCCACAGTTTGGTTGTGTTGGGGACTTCCCCCTCCCCTTTCCTCCACAATACGTTGGTGAGAGGTCTCGGCGACTGTGGCACTGGTGGAAGGCTGGGGGCTGAGATGGCGGGGCTGGTGGCCGCTGATGGGAAGATGAGGGACGCCGGAGACTGAAGGAGTTTTGCTCAAGTTCGCAATCTGCGCGCTGGAGCCGGTCAGGCCGGGGAGGGCCGTCTGCGCACCCTGTCCTGCTCCAGGCAACCGGTGGGAAACTTCCCGAGCGCGCTACCTCCCCGGGGACTCGGCGCCCCCGACGCCTCCGGGCGCTTCCTCCGGCCGCCGCGGCCCCTCCTTGCCGCCTGCTAGCGCTTAAGGTCGCGCTCTCCCCACCCCCGCCTTCCTCCCTCCCCCGGCGGCTTCCGGATCTGGACAGAGCTGGAGGAGCAGCTTCAAACACTTCCCCTGGAGACCCCTCCCCACTCCCCGCGCCATCGCCTGCCACACAGCCCCCCTGCCCTGCGCCCCCCCCCGCCTCACGCGCGCCTGAGTGGCCAGGCTGACAATGAAATCTCGCGCCTTGCCGTCGGGGGTGGGGGTCGTAGCTGGGTCTCTCTGGGGGCTGCTGACCCAGAGCAGGGGGGAGGGGGAGGGAGGATTTCTTGGGGGAGGGGCTTGTTTGGGTTAGAGACGTTGACGTCGGATGGCGCTGTGCGGGGGAGGGGGCGGGGGCAAGGTGGGGTTCTCGGCCGGGGGTCGCGGATTCTAGCCCCTCTTGGGCTTGCTGATTGGCTGGTGACTTCAGGCACGTCGGGGGGCCCCCCCAACCTCAGCCTCCTCCCCGCAACTCGGCCTCCTCCCCTCCTGTACAATGCGGGCTTCAGAGGTGATCCCGAGGGTGATGTGTGTGTGTGTGACGGAGTGTTTGTCTCCTGCGATCCACAGCAGACGCTGCTCCGGTGACCCGGAGATCCGGACGCCTCGCCCCCTCTCTCAGGGGTGGGGGGGAGGGGGGGAAAAGGGGGAGGGGGGCTGTGGGAACTTCTTTTCCCACTGGGGCCATGGGAGGGGACTGCTAGACCAGAGATTTTTCTGGGGACCGCAGTCCTGGGGGGGGTCTTCAACGCAAAGTAGGGGTCGCGGGGTCAGAAGCTTCTCGGCACTCTAAGCGCCTAGATCCTTTTGCTCCTTTGGGGGCGTGGGAGGTGTGGAACGGGTGAAGGCCCAGTTGGAACAGGAGTGGGGGCCGAGAAGAGTCAAGGGAAATCAGCCTTAATTGGATTCCCAGGCGAGCATCGGAGGGAGCTAAAGGGGGCTCCTCCTCTTTCTCTTTCCCGGGGTAGGGAGCCATGCCCGGGGACCCCCAAGCTGGCAACCCGGGCCGGGGGAGGAAATCCTTCTCCCTACTTAAAAAGGGGATTCCTGGCGGGGGAGAGGGGAGGCACCTTGGGGGGCGGTGGGGGACTGCTTTCAGGCAGTTCTGTGGCTGGGTCCAGGAATATAAAGAGTTAACCCTCCCCAGAAATCTGTCAGCCCCCACACAGCAGGGACACACTGTCGGACCCTTTGACGTGCTAACAGCGTGACACTGGCTGACAGGAGCTAGCAGATTCCATACTCTGTGCTTCTCTTCTCGGCAGCAAGCCCCAGGCAGCGGAACAGGACCTGGCTGGGTGGTGCCTTGTTCGGGGGCCTTGGGGGGAAGCAGAAATCAGAACCCAGGGAGGGTACAGCAGCCTGGTAGCCGCCTTGTGGCCCTGAGGGAAAAGGGGTTAGGGGCCAGGGTTAGGGAACTTGGAGTGGAATCACCCTTGGGCTGGGGGGGGCGTTCTACACTTTGCCCCTGCTCCCCACCTCCCACCCTGAACCACCCACAGCTGGAGGCTTGACCGTTAAGGGTGAGTGTCTGGTCTGATCCATAGGCTAGACTATGAGACCCTAGCAGCTGAGGGCGGGCCTGGCTGAGGCCTCCCCCCAACCCCCCCCGCCCCCCCCCCCCCCCCCCCCTCCCCCCCCCCACGCCTTTGTGTCTCGCCTGTTACAAATGCTCGCTGCGGATCTTAGAGCCCTGGGGCCTGGCACACGATGGGCACTCAGCTCTGGCTGGACAAACACAGGAGTGAATGAATCCGTGATGAATGAATGAATAAATGAATGAACGAGATAGGGGAAAGTTTCTCAATTGGTGGCATTTAGTCATTTAAAAAAAGAACCCTTTCCGACATACACATTTTAAAATACGGTTCAGAGAAAAATCTGACTCGGAGAGAAAGAAGCAAGGTTAATGACAGCAGGCTATGACAATGTTAATATTTTGATGTTGTTCTTCACAGTCTTTTTCGACTGGGGGTTGGTTTGTTTTTTAAAGACTTTGTGGCCATTCTCTGTATTCAGATGTATATCCTGCTTTCTTCGTTGGCGCTAACAGGAGCCTTTTCCTGTTTTGTAACGAACTCTTCATAAACACCCTGGTTAATGTCTTCAGGCTTTTCCAATCGGGTGGATGTGCCATCATTTACTTACTATTCCCCTTTTGTTCAACATTCTGGATGCTCCTGATGAACGAGGTAGCCAATGTATTTTGCACAGAGCACTTTTTTGTGATGTTTAAGATGATTTCCTCAAAATGATGTTGCTGATGCTGAAGACTCAGACATGCCTGCGGTGGAAGAAATGGGCTTCTCATTTTTCCAGAAGTGGGGCACTGTTCTCCTTCCTTCTTCACAATCTAGAACCTTCTGTCAGCTGAAAAGAGCCTTGGCAATGAATCACCTGTCTGAGCCCCTTCCTTTGACAGAGGAGGAAACCGAGGCCCAGAGAGGGGAAGTGCGTCCCAAGGTCACACAGCAGTTGCTGGGCCTTGCAGCAGCCAAGAACCAGCTACTGATCTGCCATTTTGGTTTCTATTTGTGGGAAGAGTTCCTAGGGATCTTGTAAGCTGACCTCGTCCATTTCACAGGTGGGGGGGCCTAAGACGCCAAGAGAGGAGAAGCGCCCAGCTTGCCCCTGGCATCGCCAGCTGGAGCACCAGATAGGCTCCTAAACCTGTCACCTGCTTTCTGTGTCATGCATACTGGCCCCGTCCTCGGATTCTGGGGCTACCGAAGTTACTAGCCTGTGGTTGACCAGCCGTGGAAGCCCTGTTGCCCCTCCTCAAAACTCCTCCTTCCTCTTTGTCATCCCATTCTCCAGAAGGAGAATTTGAGGATCCAAAGCAGGTGCAGTAAGAGGGGTGGGACTGCAGATGTCAGAGGATCCCCGTGGTTGTGCCCTTACCCCTGTGCCTCAGTTTACTTTTCCAAAGACCTAGCTCAGGGTCTGTTCAGGAGCTGGGGGGGCAGGTGTTGGCCCAGATATCCACCGTGAGGGAGTGGGGAAGGACCAGCTTCATCTTAAACTTCTTCTGATCTTAGGTTGACCTCAGGAGGGCCCCTGGGGAGGAAGGGGAAACAGAGGGAAGGAGGGGAGGAAGGGGAGATAGGGAGGGATTAGAAAAGAGGGAGGGGAGATAGGGAGGGAAGAAAATGCAAATGAAGAAAGGAGAGAGCTAGACCCCTCCACGGCCCCCTCCCCAGCCTCACTGGGCACCCCGGGGAGAGGCTGGGGGACAGCTCTCCCATTGCAGGTGTCAGGGGTAGGCCACGCTGGATGACCAGAAAGGCTGGATGTCCGCGGGGTGGGCTCTGTGAGGGCTGAGCAAAACAGCTGTTGGCTGGGCTCTGGGATCAGAACAATCCAGACCAGGTGGGTGGCAGGGAGGCAAGAGCTCTGAAGCTTCTGTTCCTGGGTTCCCCTGTGGGGCAGGTGGCCGGGCACCCCCAGGGAGGGGGCCGGGGCCCTGGGTGCTTCTAGGGGGCAAGGTGATCGTGGCTCGGACTTCCCATCCCAAGATAGGGACCTTCTGTTTCCCCACTGCCAGGACACCGGCTGGCCGTCGAGGTTAAGCGCAACCCTCTCATGAGCGTGGGTTATTTGGACATTTCTGCAGTGTGTATCTGTGCTTTGGACACGTCCCTGTGCATGCATACACATCCATGCGTGCCTGTGTGTGCCCATGTCTGTGTGTCTGAGCCTGTTTGTGTGGGGGTCGGTTTGCCTGCCAGCCTGGGTGTGTGTGTGTGCTTGTGTGTGCCTGTGTCTGTGTGCCTTGGACCCTGTTTGTATATTTCTGAAGGGGTCTGTGTGTCTTCCAGCTTGGGCACGTGTGCCTGCATGCATGTCTCTGTGTGTGTGTGCGAATCTGTGTGTATCCCTGCGTGTGCCATGTCTGTGGGTGTGTGCATATGTCTGAGAGTCTCTGATCCCATTTGTGCATTTCCGGTGGGGGGAGAGTGCGCCCCAGAGCTTGGGCACGTGCGTGTTTGTCTGTGTGTGAGCACACACTTTTCCTCCTAATGGCCCCAAGAGAGATCCAGGCAGCAGGCTTTTGTGCTGCTTTCAAGGTTGCGGCTGGGTGGGTGAAGGGGGGGCGGCCTTCAACTGGGAAAGGGGGGGAAGGCAAAAGAAAATCTTAAAAGACCGTCTTCCCTCTGGTCTCCAAGGAGATCAGCCTGTGAAATGATCCGCACGTTAATTAAAAACGATTATATCCTGATTGAGCCATTCCTGTTCACATCCCCCGGCCGGGAAGGCTGAGACTGAGACCAGAGGGTGGAGAATGGGGCAGGGTCTGGCCGCAGGGCACAGCCCACGGAGGGGAGCGCACCTG